GCAGCGGTTCACAGACCAGCCTGCCTCGCGAAGCCCTCCGCACACTGCCGCACGCCTCACCTGGCATCAGCCATGCGGAACTCCAGCAGGGGCGCCGAGGGCAGCGCATCAAACGGGTCGCAGGCCGGCCCCTGGCGGTGCTGGAAGGCGCCACCGCATGGGCTGCCGGACCCGCTGCCCAGGCCGCCCGCCAGCCCATTTGTGCTGTACCCTCCCGCTGTGCCCTGCTGGCCCCCCAGGCCTGGCGGCAGCTGCCACAGGTGGACGCAGTTGTCGGCCAGATTGGTGGTGAGGAAGTGCTGGCAGGGGCTGAGGCTCATGCTGGTCACGGTGCCAGACTCGCCCACCAGCTCCACACGCTGGTCGCTCAGCCTGCGCGCATGTGCATGCTGAGCACTCGTGACAAGCAGCCACAGGAGCCAGAAGGCAGCGAAAGGAAACCCTCCCTCCGTTGTGCAGCAGCAGCACCACCACATGCCTGCATGCCCACGCGCCAGGCTCACCGCTGGAAGGCAATCTTGCGGTCCTGGCCCACAGAGAGGATGCAGGTGCCGCCGGGCCCCACCACGGCATCATACACGTATGAATGCGGTGAGGGCAGGCGCTGGTGCGGCGCCCCGCTGATTGAAAGCACCGAAAGCTGCTTATGTGTGGCCACCAGGAACAGCTGGCTGCCGGGGAACCACGACAGGGCCACTACGGCCTCCTGACCCTGCGGGAACTGGCGCAGCTGCCTGGCGGAGGCCACCTCGTGCAGGCGCACGCTGGAGTCAAGGGAGGCGGTGAGGATGAGTTGGCTGTCAGGGCTGAAGGCCACCAGCTGGCAGGGCACGGGCTGCCGCAGCAGCAGGCGCGGGTCCTCCAGCCGCCCGCTGCTCGTCACAGACCTGCGGCACAGCGGGGCGCCCGCTACAGGTCGGCTGCAATGACTGGCTGCCACATGGCGTCCCCCACAGCGGTCCCCAACTTGTGATGCAACTTGAGGGCCGAGAAGGAGCGAAGCTCACCAGAGCAGCGCTGTGCCGTCTTTGCTCGCCGATGCCGCCCAGCGGCCGTCTAGTGAGAAAGCAATACACCACACCTCGCTGCTGTGCTCCTCCAGCACCTGGCTGGGCTCGGTGGGCAGCTGCTCCGCGCCAGCCTGCACGCAGCAGGGGTGCAAGCATATGAAGCGAGCCTTCCCGGGGAAGCAGTGGCAGCTGAGGGGACCCGTTGCGAGCGTCTCACCTGGTAGTCTGTGAAAAGCGACAGACGGGTGTGCAGGCAGTTGTGATACTTGCTGTGGTCCAGCTGGCTCGCCAGGGCCTGCAGGCAGGAGGGAAGGCGAGAAGGGTGGCATCGGCAGGCTGAGGGGCACGCACACCGCCCAATCACCCCTCCAGCTCATGCCCCAATGATTCCCAGCCCACCCTGGGCAGGCATGGGCTGGCGGCATCCGCACCTGCTCCACCAGTCCTTCCAGCCGCCGCTCTGGAATCAGCAGGCTCGGCATCAGACTGTCTTGCAGCTCATCCAACAACGCCGCCCTCCCCGCAGCCAGCTGCTCGGGGCTCACGCCTCCAGCGCTATCGCCACTGGTGGTCCCCGCGCCAGCAGGCGCCAGCGGCGAGCCCATCATGCCTGCTGCGCCAGCGGCAGCTGGGGACCGAAGCAGCAGCGCCGCCAGGCTGTGCAGCACCTGCTGCTGCACCCGCAGAGGCTGCAGCTCCTGGCGCAGCACCTGCAGTGCCTCGGCGGTGTGCCCACGCTGCACGCCTTCCATGTATTTTTGCTTGAGGAGCAGGAATTTTGCGCGATCCATTACCCCTTCATCTGCCGCAACAGACGGCAGCAGCCGCAGGGCATCGTCAAAGTCGCCGGACAGAACGGCGCGGCGAAACGCGGCGGCAGCAGGCGGCTGCTGCACGATGCCCGACGCGGCCTCCAGCTGAGCTGCCACCTCCTCATATCCCAGCGCCCGCAGTGCCTGCTCCAGCACCCGCACATACTCGGTCCTGCAGTGCAAAAGTTCATTGCATGCGTGGGTTGTGCACACGTGGTATGGAGGCACCTTCAGTCGCAGCGCGCCAGTTCAGCCGCCTCCCGCCCGCTACCCTCCCGCACCGGTCTATCAGCCCTCTCCTGCCCAGCTGTGGTGCAATATCGGTAGGTGGACCCGGTAAACCATTGCTGAGTCCATGGGGTGGCCCCATGAGGCGCACCCTCCTTGGTGGGCCTGCTGGGGTTCTCTGCCAGGCTACCGAGATGTCCTCCTGTGTCAGCTGCAGTGTCGGGCGCTGTTCATGTGGAGGCCGGCGTCTCTGCCCTTATTATGCAGCCTCTGCGTGCGCACGCGCGTGGCTTGCCACGTCGGACGCTAGCGTACGCTAGCGTGCTCTCAAGCAGCTTGACAAACATCGAAAGCAGCAATCAGGCAATGCCGTCAAAACAGTGACGGACGTCGGGTAGAGAACGGTGCCATACATGAGATAGGAATGAGGAAGACCGCGTGTGCAGCCTTTGCAGCCAGCAGCAGAGGTCTAGGACGGTTGGGAACGACAAGATCTGGAGGCCTCGTCGTCCCCAGGCGAATGATGCGGCCCCCAGAAAGGCAGGCAGGCACGGCGAGCGTAGCCGCTCAGGGCGGCGCAGTGGCGGCAGGGCCAGTGGACACTAGTGCCTTCCCATCGCCCCCTCCGGTGCTGCTCTTAGACGTCATGGACACAATTGTGTACGATCCCTTCTATTTGGACATGCCTCGCTTCTTTGGCATCACGTTCAAGGAGCTGCTGGCCGCCAAGCACCCCTCCGCCTGGATCCAGGTGCGCTGTGGGTTGGTGGCACCAACATCTCCAGGCAGCTGAGGCATCCGTGCCGTGGCCAGCCCTGCATCCAGGCTGACCACAATCGGTCTTTCCACTATAGCCCCTGCTTCATAACCCCATATGCAGTTTGAGCGTGACGAAATTTCTGAGGAGGAGCTGCTCCGCATCTTCTTCTCAGACGGTCGCGAGGTTGACGGGGCGGCCCTCAAGCAACACATGGTGAGCAGCAACCCGCTGCATGACCACCATGGCCTTGGAATGAGGACAGTGAGGCCACCGCAGGGAAAGCAACATCTCTGGCTCACCCCTCTCCCTTTTGCCTGCAGGCTGACTGCTACAGGTACCTCGATGGCATGCAGGCGCTGTTGGAACGACTGGCTGCCAGTGGTGCCAAGGTGCATGCCTTCAGCAACTATCCCGCTTGGTGGCAGCTGATTGAGGAGAAGCTGCGCCTGTCACGCTACCTGGCCTGGACCTTCATCAGCTGCGACGGGCCCCTCAAGGCAAGAGAAACACTGGTGGCAGCTGCATGTGATGATCTGCACTCTTGCCGCCGATCGCCGACGGATGCACTGGCTTGCCCCGCTTATCCCGCGCTCAATGATCAAGTGACCTGCCAGACACTCGCCCAGATGCCGTCCTGGCCACCGGCATGCAGGGTTTGCGCAAGCCGTCGCCCGAGAGCTTTGCAGCGGTGGTGTCGCACCTGCAGCTGCCACCAGAGCGGCTGCTGTTCGTGGATGACAGGCAAGCCAATGTGGACGGCGCGCTGGCGGCCGGCATTCCAGCTGTCAAGTTTGAAAGCGCGGCGCAGCTGGAGGCGGAGCTGTTGAAAAAGGGTTTCTTTCAATGAACAATGATGAAAGAAATGAAAAGAAAATGAATTACTGCTTGCCTCGCACCCCATCTTGAGCGTAATATTGGTACAGTAGTGCTGTTGCCATCTGCCCATTCTGTTCATTGATATTTTTCTTTCAATTTTCTGAGTGTTAAAGTTGCAGGTTGGGGATGATGTGTTGGCAGAGCTTGGGGATGGTGCGTTGGCAGGGGTGGAAAACTGTTATATCAAATGAGTATGTATTAAAGTTTGAGAATGTCGGGGAATGAATAATGTCAACAGCGCCCAGGTCCCTACCAGTCAATCTTAGCGCGCCGCTCCTTCTTCTTGTCGCTCTGGAACTTCTTGGATACCAGCCGCCGCTCGTTGCCGCGCTCCAGCTGCTTCTGGATCTCCCTCTTCTTCTCGGGGTCCTCCTCGATCGGCTGCACCGACTTCCAAGCCGCATCCAGAATCTCCTGCAGCTTGGCCAGCGCATCCTCCACGTTGTCGCTGCAGCAGGGGAGGGATGCGGGGAAGGGGTGCAACCCAGCAGCAACAAGCGCGCAAGATGAAGGGCAGGCAGGGAAGGCATGAAGGCAGGCAGGCACAACGGATCATGGGAACCAGTAAATGGTATCTGCCTTTACAAATGGCATGCCAGCGGATCTCACGCTTGCGACCGCGTGCGCTGTGAGGTGAGGACCAGCTCCCCTTCCTTGTTGATTCGCTTCTTCTCCTGCACATGCACGTGTTGTGGGCAGAGGTGGCTGCTGGGCCCTTGCTTTCAGGCGTCATTTGGAAAATGCGGCCCTGGGACAATTACTTTGGCACCTCTACTACTGCTCTGCTCTACCCTGCGTTCCTTTCTTCAGATGCCAGTCCTTGCTGCACACATGAGTGGCCAGCATGAGTGGCTGCAGGTGCTGAGAGCCTCACCGCGCGCCGCACCGCCTCCTTAATCTCCTCATCCAGCCAGGCCGCCGCATCCAGCCGTAGCCGCATGTCCACCTTGGTATTGACCTTGTTCACGTTCTGGCCGCCCGCGCCAGAGCTGCGCGCAAACTGAATGTCCACATCGTCTGCGGGCAGGACGGCGGTCAGGACGGCGTGGGAGCAACGTGTCTTGGTCTGGGTAACCAAATGGGTCAAAGGCTTAGCAGGGTTGCAGCCAATGCAAGCCCTTCTGACATTCGTTTAGCAGCTCAGGGTATGTCCAGCAGCGGTGAACACCTCGAGTTATCCGCTTCACGGGTGGGATGGGTGGCGGCTTGGCTGCTGGCGGCGCAGCAGCCGCAGCAGGCGGTGGGGCGCAGCAGGTGGTGGCGATGTGCAGCTGGCGGCCCCTGAGCGTCACCGCTGCTGCTGCCGGGGTGCAAGGTCTGGGCAGCTGCTGCCACACCATTGCTGCCGCTCTGAACATTGGTCTAGGCTAGTCCACGCAGCGCCTGAGGCGGCCTTTTCACAGTACCGGTGGCGGCTGGGGCACGAGAATTGCTGCCGATGCCCCGGTGCTGCTGCGGTGCGCTGTACTGCCCACTCCACAACTGTACTCTAGTCTCGCGCGTGCTCAAATTCGCCCACTCTGTGTCTCTTCCACTCAGCAGATCTGTCTCGCTCGCTGCATCCACGCGTGTATAGCACTTGGTGTCGGGCAGCCTGATCAATGTGCCGCTGAGAGGCAGGCAGGCCAAGCCCAAGGCATTCATTGATTAATCCACAGTCCTGGCGGCTCAAGTAGGGGTCTAGGGGACGCAGGGGACGACAATGGCCACTCAACAGCAGGTAGGATGGCCCCAACCCAGGCCGGCGCAGTAGGTGCCCTGCATTGAGCCATCAGACTGCCTGATGCGAGCCACTGGCACGCGCGGCCACGCCTGCGCACAGCACCTGGCGGTGCACGCTGCAGCCGCCAGTGCCGCCATGTTGCCCAAACCACCTAAGCTTTCCTGCGTGCCCTGCATGAGGTTTCATCCCATGACGCCCTCATCGCACTCTGACACGATCAACCTGCCCCCACCCCAACCCTCCTCCCTCGTCGCCCCGCTGCAGTTGCTGAGCGCGCTGCAAGCGCTGTACCACGGCGACCCCGCTGTCAAGGATCAGGCCAACAAGTGGCTGGAGGCGTTCCAGCAGTCGGCCGAGGCCTGGCAGGTGTCCAACGACATTCTGCACGCGCCGGGGGCGGGCATGGAGGCCCACTACTTTGCGGCGCAGACGCTGCGCACCAAGGTGCAGCGGGACTTTGAGGAGCTGCCGGCGGGGGCGGCGGGTGCGCTGCGCGACTCGCTGGTGGCCCTCCTGGTGCAGCACTGCAGCGGCAGCGCCGCCGTGCGCACGCAGCTGTGCCTGGCGGTCGCGGCGCTGGCGGCGCACCTGCCCGCCGTGCAGTGGGGACCCTCTGGCGTGGTGGGCTGGCTGGCGCAGCGGCTGGGCGGCGAGCCGCAGACTGTGTCGCTGCCCTGCATGCTGGAGCTGCTCACCGTGCTGCCACAGGTGCGGTGGGGCCGGTATTGTAGGGTTGGGGAGGTGGGCAGCCATTCAGGGCAGCATTTGCGCTGCTGACGTCCCCTGCCACTGCGCTGTAGTGATCGCCGCTGTTTACCTACGTGCTTTTTGCCCAAGCCAAACCCTGCCCCTTGGCTCCCTGCCTGCCTGCTGCCTGCTGCCCTGCAGGAGGCCAGCAGCTACCAGCCCGCGGTGCGCCCGGAGCGGCGGCGGGCGGTGATCGACGAGATGATGGCGTATGCGCCTCAGGCGCTGCAGATACTGTCTGGCTGCCTGTCGGCGCCGCTGCCGCGCGCGCAGGAGCAGGTGCTGGACGCCTTCACCTCCTGGCTGAAGCTGACGGGGGGCGTGGGCCTCACCGGACCCATGCTCATGCAGAGCCCGCTGGTCAGGTGGGTGGCGTACTGGCTTGCTGGTGTAGCGGCACTCGAGACCTCCCGAACGCCGCCTGCTGGTGCAGCTGTCCCCCTTCCCTCGCTCAGCGCCGGGAGTGCTTGGCCAGGGCTGCGTGGATGGCCCGCCCCTCCTGACCGGGCTGCCGGCGCCGGTTGTTGGCGCAGGGCGGCGCTGGAGGGCCTGCGCTCCGCCGACACCTTCTTCTCCGCCGTGGATGCTGTGGTGGAGCTCATCTACTGCACCAGCCAGCGGGGGCGCCCCAAGGACGACATGGCGCCACTGGTGCAGCTCATTGTGCCAGAGGTCATGGCGCTCAAGCCCAGGTGGGGGGATGGGGGGTGCGGTCGGCAGGCGGGAGTGGGGCTGGGTTTGCTGGGGCTGGGTGGAGTGGGGGCCCTGACCATGGCCAAGTGCTCCAAAGAGTTGTGTCCCTTGTTAATCCTCATCGCCATGCCCCACTCACCCGGGCGCAGGTTCCACGTGTGCCTGCAGCAGGCGCTGGCTGAGCGCAACGGCACCAGCGGGGTGCCCGAGGGCGAGCACGACGACAGCGAGGAGGATGCCAAGGGCATGGCCCGCCTGTTTGCCGAGGTCGGGGAGGCCTACACGGGGCTCATCGCAGAGGGGGGCCCGCAGGTGGGTGGGGCGCTGGGGAGGGCGGCACTGCTGGCAGGTGGATGGGTGATGGGTGGCGCCAAGGCCAGACCGGCAAGCAGGCATGGCAGGGGGGGCAGATGCACCCCTCGGAGGCTGGCTGCCTGCCCTGCCCGTGTCGTTTGTCCATTCCCGCCAACACCCCACCCGCGCACAGTCACCCCACCAGCGTCCCCCTCCCCGCCAGGTGAGCGCCCCCGTGGAGGCGCTGCTGGATGTGGCCAGCCACCCCGACGACTCCATCTGCTCCATGTCCTTCAACTTCTGGCACCGTCTCTCGCGCGCCCTCACCATCGGCCTGCACCCCGAGCCGCTGGGTGCGCCGCCGGGCAGCGGCGCGCGCCGGCGCGGCATGCTTGTGCCACACCCTAGGGGCCACTGACGGCTTGTGGGTGGCTCCCAGGCTGTTTGTCGCACCTCTCCCTGCCACCCTGTCCCCGCCTCAACCCCCCTGCTTCTACGCCCCCTCCCCATGCCTCAGAGTCCGAGGAAGGCCCCGTGTCGGATGAGGAGCGGCAGCGGCGCGTGGCGCTCTTCACCCCCACCCTGGAGCGCCTGGTGGCGCTCATCCGCGGCCGCGTGCGCTTCCACGAAAACTTCGACTCCTGGCACCGAGACGAGCGCTCAGACTTCAAGCGCGCCAGGTGGGGTGCAGACGGGACTGCGGGGTTGGCTTGCGGCGTGTTCAGGGGGCAGCTCAGCTTGGGGTGGAACGGCAGCGCCGCTGTGCTGTGTGGTGCTGCCGGTCTGGCGGCCCAGGCCACCCATGCGCCCCCGCGCCTCCATCCCCCTCCTGTTTGCAGGGTGGCCGTGGGCGACACGCTGATAGACTGCGCCAGCGTGCTGGGCGGCGGCCGCATGCTGCAGCTGCTGGTGGAGCCGCTGCTGGAGCTGAGCAAGCAGGTCACCAGCGGCGGCCAGTTTGACTGGCGCACCGCGGAGGCGGCGCTGTACTGCATCAGGGCGGTGCACCGCTGCGCGCCGCTGCCCGGCGACGGTCTCATGATGTCGCTGTTTGGCAGCCTGCCCATGCTGCCGGCGGTGGCGCAGCTGCAGTACACCGTGGCCCTGGCTGTGGGCGCGTATGCCGACTGGCTGGCAGACACGGCGCGGCGCAGCGAGGAGGGGCGCACGCTGCTGTCGCAGGTGGGGCCGGGCTGCGCTGGTGTGTGTGGGGTGGGGGGGCGCGGCAGCCGTGGCAAGCGGAGCGTCGCTGCTCGGAGTCCTCGCGCAGGCCTCCTGAGTCTGCGCCACTGCGGTAGCTGCCCAACTGACCTGCCCCTGCGCTTCACCCCTCGTGGGCCCCACCCCTCCCCCCTGCAGCTCCTCACCATGCTGACCCGCTTCCTGAGCGAGCCAGAGGCCTCCTCCGCCTCCGCCCTGTCCATCCGCCGCCTGTGCGACGGCTGCGCGCCGCTGCTTGCGGGGGGCGGCTCCATGGATGCGCTGATGGGGCTGTACCGCCAGGTCCAGGCCAGCGGCGATGTGGCGCAGAACAGGACGGAGCTGGACCTGGATGAGGACGACGTGCAGCAGGTGGGCTGTGGTGTGTGTGTGTGTTTAGGGGGGGCAGAGCAGCAGTCGGGTGTGGGTAGGGGGCTTCATGCAATGCTAGGTGGGGCATGAAGGCTGGTGTGGGGAGCATAGGAGGGCAGGGTGCGGCAGCAGCTGAGCCCTGGCTTCCAGCCCTGGCCAGTGACCTTATGCCGCTCCCCCTCATCAGGACGCTCCCCGCCCGCCCGCCCACCCGCCTGCCTGCAGCTGATAGAGGGCGTGACGCTGGTGGCCTCTGCGCTGCCCGACGGCCAGCGGCAGCAGTGTGTGCAGCAGATGCTGGACATTGTGGTGCAGCCGATGCAGGGCATCCTGCAGGCGGCAGCCGCAGAGCCAGGCGGCTCGGGGCCCGGCACGCCCACGGCCGCTGGCGGCGGCGCAGCCCCCACGCCGCCGGCTGCCACGCCCGGCTCCCAGCTGGCGCTGGTGCTGCCGCTGATGGAGCGCGTGACCACCGTGTTCAGGGCTGTCAAGGACCCTGCTGACGTGGCAGAGGCGCTGGTGCGGCTGTGGCCCTGGATCGAGGCCGCCCTAGGTGCGCGTGACAGCGCCTGCGGGCACCGCAGAGCACCGCTGGGTTGGCGGCGGCAGCTTGCTGCTGGAGCCAGCAGCCAAGCCCAATACGCCTTGCCCACCCGCCGCCACCGCCGCTGCTGTGCAGACCGCTTTGCCGGCGACGCTCCCGCCATTGAGCGCATCTGCCGCGCGCCACGCTATGCGGTGCGCAGCGCGGGCAAGGCCGCCGCCCCCGCCGTGCCGCTGCTGGTGGCCAGCCTGCCGCAGCGCTTTGAGTCCAGCCGCCAGCCCTGCTTCCTGTACGTGGCCAGCGAGCTGATCAAGACCTTTGGGGATGAGCCGGCCCGCGACCTGGAGCTGGGTGAGGACCGGCGGGCTGGGAGGGTGGCTGGAAGGGTGGGGGCGAGCGGCGGGCAGCGGCTGGGCTTCCAGCTTGGTGTTGGGCGGGGGAGTCTTGCCCTCATGTGAGCACGAGGCTGTCCCCGCCGCTCCCTGATGCGCTTGGCCGCCCCCCCCCCTGCCGCGCAGGCGGCATGTTCAGCCGCATGCTGGGTGCGGCCTGCTCCATGCTGCACAGCCTGCACGACATCAGCGAGCGCCCCGACGTCGCCGACGACACCTTTTTGCTGGCGGGGCGCGCGCTGAGCTACGCGCCGCGCCTGCTGCTCACGCCGCAGCTGCTGGCCGCGCTGCTGGACAGCGCCCTGGCGGGGCTGCTGGTGCAGCACCGCGAGGCCTGCTGCTCCATCCTGGCCTTTGTCGTGCGCCTGCTGGACCCGGCCACCCACCGCGCCTGCGCGCCCGAGGCGGTGGCGCACCTGCAGGGGGCGCTGGTGCCGCGTGCGCCGCTGCTGGTGCGCCTGGTGCTGGCGGGGGTGACGGGGGCGCTGCCCACCAACCGGCTGGCGGAGCTCGCCGACGTGCTGTATGCGCTGCTCAAGGTGAACGGCACATGGGATGGGTGGGGTGGAGGCGCACGCCTGCAAGTTGCAGTCAAATCTTATGTGGGCTGG